TTAATGTAAATAAATTCTGCTCATTACCATGGCTTATCAGTTGTACTTCCGTGAAACATGCACATTATCGTTTTAAAATACGTAAATAAAATACAAACTAAACGATAAAACATTTTTCTTCAATAATACTCGTTTTTCATTTCATTCCCACAGAATTAAAGAAATTAAAATAATTCATCGGAAGAATTATTTCTTCAAAATATTTCACAAATGAATTGGTTATGATTCAGAGGCACATTTTTGTCGCGGGAAAAATTAATCCAAAAATAGATTATTTTGTTTTTTTGCTGTAAATTTAAACGTTCAACGTCTTTTAGCATCTTATAGTTTACTCTGCCTCTAAATTTGTTAATTCGACTTTTGATATTTACAAATCGTAATTTTTTTTAAAGTATTAAAGAAATGTATAATTTATCTTAAATTAAGATTCACTTTTTAAGTTTGACTTTATTCATACAGATTCTAATTAATATTTCATTAATAACTAGATTGTGTACAGTAGGAAAAGCACATTGAAATTAAGAAAACTGTACAATTATAATTGAGTAGATATAACATATAAATAAATAAAAAAAAATAAAATATAAGTAGAGAAATATCAGATGAGGACTCACGACACGAAAGTGTAACGTGAACGTCACATTCGCTTCTGAAGATGGAAACTAAATCCAACTTTTGAAGAAGGTCACGAGTAAAAACTCCTAATTGGATCTTTGAATATTTTCCATTAGAGGTATTTATTTTTTTATTATCACAATTGTTCGATGCTACATATCTTATGTACCTTTCTCTATTTCCATTATAATCTTCGGTATATTTTTTCTCTTACTCTATATTTCCTCATTCTTTTTACTTTTTGATGATAATATTGCAATTAAACTAAAAAAAAAAATTATTTAAAACAAGCAAATTAATCAAACATTTTGTTTGGTGAAACTAAAAATCTGCTTCAGATAACCAAATTTTTTGTTCGAACGCAAAATTTGTTACACTGAACCAAATGGTTTTTTAAATCAAATAAATATTTATTTAAGTTAAAAAATTTTCATTTCGAAAAATAGCACAGAAAATTGTAAGGTATTATTTTAACACCCAAAGGGATTAAAATAATCTATAATTCACGAATCCATCAAGGATTAAAATGATCCATCGAACGATTACCTATTTTTTCAAAATGTTTTTATTATTTGATTTTGATTAAAACACATTTTTGTCTTATAGAGAAAAGGACTTGAAAAATGGATGATTTTAATCTTTTTTTATGAAAATTTAAGTTGCAACGGTTTTTAATAGCTCGCAGTTTACTCTGAGGGTTTTTACATCGAAATATTGTTGTTTGTATATAATATGCATTTAGGACGACGATGTCGAGTGATATTATTTAGTTACAACGGCTAAAATTCTCTGTCATAGGTACGCACCTAAACATTTATTTCAGTGTAATTATTTCTCTCGTGTTTACACAAAGACACGCCAAGATTGTATGCGACTGGTAGTGTCCAATCACTTATACTTCAAATGAATCTGTCAAAATCTTTATCCACCTTTTCACGTAAATGCAAAATGACGTTATTTACTGCCCGCAAGTGTTGAGTCAAAATTTGTCATCCTCTGAATTTTATGCCTGGACTTTCTTGTACTATGAGAAATATGTCAAAAATTTTATATTAATCCCATACTTCGTACTAAAAAACGCAAAATAAAGCATTATTTTGAAAAATATCAAATTGTCAGACAATGATGAATAACCATGCACAATAAATAGTATACCTACAATTTCGCTTAAATTCAGATTTGGTGCAAAAGAAATCTTATTTTTTAGGGGAAGAAAGGAATCTTATTTCAATTTGTAGTATTTTTAAGACACTAAACTTATTCATTCTTAGAATAGATTTTTAATATGTTGAGTTCTTTTTAATGATCTAAATTTAAGACCGCCCATTAAATTATTAAGGAACTAGATCTATTTGAATCAGTGAAAAATAACTGATTTAGAAGCAAAAAATCAGTCACTGATTGTCAGTTAAAACTATGATTTTTAACTGATTCAAATTTAAAGAGTAAATTCCATTGAACATTTTATTTTTACACAAGTTTAACTTTAAATTAAAACTAATCTTATTTTCAAGATTCAATTAATTTCAGCGTTATTATAAAATAAGATTTAATGTTTACAGTGAGAGTAATAAAAGACTTTCTATAAATGAAAACTCATATTTCCGACATGTAATATAACAATTGTATTTAAAGCTTTTAATAATAAAGTACTATACCGGAAATCTTCTTCAGTCAGTCGACTATGACTCTGACGTCTTGCCATCTGGCAGAAGATAAATGTAATTAATTTTTGTCAGCCTAAAACTCTATAATAATGAAAAATCCCAGCCGTTAGAAAAATTAATAATTCTTTTCACTTTTGAGAAAAGTAAAATTTATATCTATAATAAAAATGTTATGATATACATACACGCATAACCTAAGCCACACTTGGAGGAAAATTTATGACTGTCCTTGCGTTACACGTATACGAAGAAAATAATTAAGAAATGACAATGAACTTGACTCGTAAATAATAAATACAGATATATTGCGAATGCAGAACAACTCAGATCAGATAAAAAGTTTAATGAGAGATAAAGAAATGAAAATGTTTTTGGCAAAAGTGAAAATAAAATAAGTTTTCACGTCATCAGACAACGATATTATCTTTTTGACAATTTTCAAGTAATCACATTCGCAAATTAAGTTTGTTTTTTCCGAGATCCTTTGGCAAGGATTTTGTGAGTTAAAAATTTCCTGCATCATAAATATTTTTGAACATAATCGTAAATGATAGTAAATTAAATTTTATTTTATTCAAAAAAGAGATTTAGGTGTCTTTTAATGTGAGAAAATATATCTAGACCGAGATTTAGACTATAAAGATTGCAATTGGATTAAGTATTGCAAATAATATAACATTAATGTACAAAACAAAATAATTTTTATATTAAAATTTTACAAATCTATACGAAATGAATAAAAAATTATGTCTTATTTTCATCTTAAATGTTGACAAAGTTGCTACGGATCTTTGTAGACTCTTTTGATCATCAAACGCGTTTAGATGTTTCTTTCAAGCTTAAATACAAATGCATGCACACACATAAACTACAGTTTGTCGATTTTTAATGTAAATAAAAGTCGATAGTTCAAGACCTAGAACTGTCAGAAGGTAGTGTAATACTGTGAATAATAATAATAATAATAATAATAATAATAATAATAATAATAATATCTAATGTCTTTAAGATAAATTTCTGTTTATTTTTATATGGATTTCTACCAAAATATATATGTACATAGTTCCATAATTTTAAATGTTGTGTAATATTTTATCTATTGACTATTAAAAAATCCATGCTTGACTACATTTATACTACAGTTACTATAGTGTTCAACCAATTATACATATAAATTTTTTACAACTGATTGAACCATAGCCTAATGCAACTGCTACTGAATGAATCAGTAAGATCTCACCATTTGCCAAATTTGGTTTTTATGGTCACTGAAATCTTACTGGTTCCAATAACATAAATAATAATAAATTATAAATTTGACCAAAGTTCTGATCAAATGAATTAGATATTGAAAATTAAGAGGTGAGAAATCCTCTTCATCTAATATCCTTTCAAAACAAAAGCAGTTGAATGCAGAATATTTTTCTTCTTCGGCGGTTGATGTCAAAAATATTGAACTAAAGTATTAATTAATGTAAGTAATGAACTATTAAAAATTAATTATATTTATTTAAATAAAAAAATTTAATTTAGTCCGTCAGAATAGCTTTTTTTTATAATTCTCAATTAATATGCGAGAGAAAAATCCTCTCAAGTGAATTATATTTATTGATACCAAGAGGAATCCGCTAAAATGAAGATTATTTTTTTAGGGTGCAGCCAAATATTTTTCAACTACCTACTAAATGAAATAGTTAAATTTAAAAAAAGGGAAAATTATTACCAATCTGAATTAGTGGACGACTTTTATCTAATTCAGATTTAGAGAGTGCTCTCTCGTATTAAAATGAATAAACATTGTGAATTCGAAAATTTATGCTCTCAGCATTAATCAATAACGAAACCTAAAAAACTTGGATTAAATACACGTGTTGACAGAAATATATACTTCTCCAGGGTCATCATGTTCGAATATAAAGTTTAGACGTCATGCGATCCCCCTTTCAACAAAATACTTTGTTTAAAGCAACTTGCAAGTTAACTAAGTGCTTAAATAAACAAATCTTTTGTGTTTGTTTACTATTTATACTTGTTACAAACTTTGTACTTCCATATTTGAAATGTCAATTTTGAAATGTCAATTCAAAAATGGCAAAGAATAATGTTTATTTTACAAATTGTTAAATTGTAAAAGATGCAATTTTGAGAATAAGAACTTGACTGTGGGAATGCTTAAACTTTGTTTCAAGTTTGTAATAAAGTAGAGTGGGTTTGAAGAGTGAAGAGTAAGAAAACCCGGAATGTTATTTTCTCGATCAAGTTATGATTGTATTAACCGCGCTCGACAAAGCGCATTTTTCCGTTCGCTTATAAAAGAGAGAATTGAAGCCAACGAGGTGCAAATAGTAGTAGAATCTGTATGTGACGCGGAAAGGCTGATTTCGAGAGAAAAACTTTTGGCACAATTTGAACATACGTAATTCAACCTCCGCTTTCAAAATCCAGACTATACGAGTCGATGAATCATATGAGATTGCACAAATTTTTTTTAAAAACACAAAATATCTACGGGGGTTATTCAAGGGCCCATCAATTTCTTTAATCCCCGAGAAGATTGTCAAAATATCTTTAAAAGATTTAGAATTCTGATACTTAAATCTCAGCCCATTCTCTTCTGTTTCAAACTATTTTTTCATTATAAACACTTGCTTTGTTCAATTTCAGTTATAGCAAATTTTTTAAACATTCGATTTGTTTAATATAAAACAACATTCTCACCTCATTATTTTTATTTTTGTCATTTTGATTTTCATCGCCCCAACTGTCATCAGTTGTAGCATTCGGATCATATCTCCTCGTAGTCTTTGTTGTTTTCCTTGTTGTTTTTCTTGTAACAGAAGTAATTTCATGAGGTGATTCCCAATCTTGAAAAACTTCGGTTGTTGCCATATTTTTTAATTATAATCGCACTTACAAATAATACGAGTATCACACGTTGATTAAAACAAAAAACAAAAACTGAAACTGCACGCGTCGTTTTCACTTTAGAGTGAGAAATTCTTCTTTGAGGAATGCTCCTACAGATGAATCGTATTTCACCGCAACGTTTATTTATATCAACTTAAAATCCTTGAAACGTGGAGAAATTTTTCTTATACCTTTTCAAAAAAAAATTTTATTTAATTTTCCTTGTGTTCATTGAATTACTATCTACAAATTTTTCCTCTTCTTCATAAATTTCAAAGATTTATCTATAAAAGCCCTTCCAGCAAATTGTTTTGTCATCATCTCCGTCCATGTTGGCAGAAATTATCATCCAAATGAAGAAAGAAAGCAAAGGACTTCTGTCCAAGAACATTCAATCGGTAATGATGATCCTCAGTGTACAAAAACTTTAATTTACGATATTTTTCCAATGATTTTTGACACATAGATATTTGTGTTTACCTTTAAAAAAAGGCAGAGCAAATCAGTTCTTAAAAAGAGAAATTTAGAAAAAAAATAAATTAAAACTTTTATAGCTGAAAAATGTCAATGATTTAAAATTTTAGTAGTATTCACCAACGTATTTTACTTGAAATTAATGTCTGTAGAAAAATTGTTCTTCTTCTTCTTTTATGCAGTTAGCGCATCTCAACCCCACTTGCAAACTTTGTATTCGTTATCAACACTATTTTGATTCTTTATCCAGAACACAACACAACCGGATTCATTTTTTGTTCGTTTCGGAATAATATGCGAGATGTGAGATGGATCTCACAAGACTGAAGTGGAAAGCACGTCACCCTCAAAGCTTACCGGCGTCCACGTCCCATCTCTGCCGATCCAATTCCAGAATAATATATTAGGACAACGTTGAAACGACGACGATGCGCAAAGAAGCGAGAGACACATATTATGTATTTCTAAGATGCGCTTCGTGGGTCATCATCAATGCAATCCTTGTTTTCCGTCCAGCAAACGTCTATTCTACAGCCCCATTTCTTTTTAATTAAAATTATAAACGTCAAGAAGATAAACCGCGAGCATATCAAAAATACTATAATCTAGAAAAATCAAAATGAAACCGTGACAGTTTTTCAGTTATTTTCTCTCCTATAATCTAAATTACAAAAAAAAGTTTTGTGAAAATAAATAAATGAGTCGCTATTTTCACAAATATTTTTTCAAGAAGCAATTCAAAGTCGATGCGATTTTTCCATTGATGCTCAAAAATCGAATCCCTTAAGTTTTAAAAGTAGAAGAGTTGATCACAGTTGATCAACTGCGGACAACAAAAAACTTTCGAGTAGCTAATATCTGTGTTTTAAATTAAAATAAAAAATTTGAGAATGAAAAGAAGAAGATTTCCGATTTCGTATCATAGTTTTCCTGTCAAGACGTCAATCAATTGGGTAGCATTACTTCTGAGACCAGCGTGACTCAGAGGGATCGGTTCAACCACGTGTTCTATAATTACCTTTAAATCTGAACTCTCATTTCCAAAAGTGATTCAAATCGGGAGTGTTCATAATAATTAAAATCGTGATCGTTTGTAAAAGGAAAAATTGCCATAACATGCGGTTCGAGTGTTTTCGAAATTTTTTAAAATCGCGAGTTTTTTTGTGACCGAAAATTGATGAGTGCAGCAACTTCAATACGTAATAGGATGAGTTCGACAGTTATTGTGAGGTAACAATTATTTTTTCATTTTATTTTCAAATATAATATACGAATATTCATCAACAAACAGAGTAGTTTTTGTTTATATTTGAAAATTTTTTAACTAAAAGATGATAGGAAAAAGTGCTGCAAAAGAAGAGGAATCCTCTAAAATATTTTTTTTCGGTGTAAATTAATTTTTCCTATTAAAAAAAGGTGTCTAAATGAAAACCAAATCATTTTTTAAACATTTTGAAAAAATAATCCTTCGATGGATTATTTTAATCTGCATTGCAGATTTTTTTAATCCATTTTGATGTTAAAATATTTGTCCACAATTTTCTGTGTCTGATGTTTTATTTGTTACAAAAAACCTTTATAAAAAATGTTGCGGTCCACGCCTGCTGTCTCGTTTATTATTTAATCAGAAAAAAATGTTATCCATCAGTTAAGAGGCAAATAATAGCCAAGTTTATAAAAAAATAATAACCAATGTTATAAAATTGGTTTACCTTTATAAAATGTATGTTATAAAAAACATTTTTAAATTAAAAATATTCTATTATTAGGTACATGATTTTAATATTATTACAAATGTCAAAACTATTTTTAAGATGAAATAATTTAAAATCAACTTGCAACAAGAAAGCTGCTTAAGAAAAATGTTTGTTTACCTTAGGTAAATAATACAACTGTTTTGAATACTTTTAATGAAGCCCTGAAGATGGCGAGAGCTTTCAAAGTGACACAAGCTTGCGGAGCTTTCAATATTCCGTTTTCATCTATTTCCCTTCAGATGGAGCTACTTACTAGAAATTTTCCTCTTTGCCAGGAAAAGCTTTTCTGCTTTATCAAGCATTAATAACTTCAGAATTCAATTTTCTGACTAATTTTTACTCTCTTATTTCATTCACTTAAACAATTTTATTCAACATTTTATTTATCTTAAAAAAAATGTGTCTTTTCTAAATAGAAGCTTTTAAAATTCGTAGTCTCAGTTAGTAAAATTCCACTGAAGTGCACGCTGTTATCTTCCAGATGAAGCTTTTTTTTAATCTTCACCTGGAACAGCGATAAGTTTCTTTTGAATAGCGAAAGCTATTTAATTTAAATATTTCCCATGAATTTATGTTTTAGTCAAACATTATTTACATCAAGTATAATGAAATTATTTATAAATTATCATCCACACACCTATAATTATTGTCTAAACAATATTAATTGAATTGAATTGAAAAAAATTACATCCAAATGGGAAATAGACTAGACAAAAATTATTTCATGTTTCACGATGTATTAATATGCACTGTATTATAAAATGCAAATTTATTTTAGACTAGACCGAAAATATGTGAATCGAACTGGTGAATTAATACATTATCCACTGTCTGGTCGCGACAGTGAATAAAAAATGAATCACCTCTTAATATCAATTTTCCCTCCCTTTTGAATATAATAGAAGAAAATATAACTCGATGAATCGAAATAAATCATTTAGAATTATTAATTCAACTTTTATTCATTCATTCATCTCTAGATTGGAAAATTAATTATTATTATTATTATTATTATTATTATTATTATTAATTTTTTAAACTTGACGTCAAATGGAACTTGCGATCAATTTGATCGATAGTCTCTTGGAAATTTTTGAGGAACATTTATAGAAGCGTCGCCTTCTGGACAAGGTCATAGAATTATTTATGTTTGTGTTGAGGGTTTGTCCATCTGGACTACAGTGAATAAGTCCTCTATGGGGGGATTCGAAACAAATGTCTTCGTATCTCTAAATCTGAATTTTGTGAAATTCCAAAGAATATTGGGGAGATTTTACTCAGCAAAGTTTTTCTAAGGATATGAAATTGAGACAAAAAAACGTAGCAAAACGTCTATTTGATATTCTTAGAAAAAATGTGCTTATAATTCAATAACGCAGTACCTATTTTCGAAAAAAATAAAATACGTGTATTTTTCCAAGAAATGTTATATAAAACATTTTTAAAGCGAAACATGAAAATAAATTTAGCAACCAACTATACATATAATTAAAGCACCAATATGTTTTGACGATAAAAATGCCTTACGTCATGTGAGTCGCTGCTTTCCGTTCCGGATATTCCCATCTCAACGAAATAAACAGATGTTACAGGCTTTCAAAATATTAAGGCAAATCACAGTGATGCTACTGTCAATATGGTTCATTCAATTCAAACTCAGAAAAAACTGTTTTATTCTAAAAACGAAATCATTAAAAAATAGATACATATTATATTATCAGGAAAATTTAATTTAATTTAAATTTGAATTGAGCAACGAAAAGTTTTGTTCAGCAAATAATTGTTTTGTCACACTAGATTAAAATATTACTATATATGTATAGTTTTACATTCCCGGGCGAATAAATATTATCAGTAAATCAACCCTTTTGACTTATAGTTATACATGGGGAGCGACCTGCATTTTTAAAAATTAAACAATTCCTTTGTGACCTATTCATCTCATCACAGAAATTCGACAATCCATATGAAAAAAAGTTTTCGCATGAAACAAAAATTTGTAAATAAAACGAATTTAATATTTATGGGATATGATTTTTGGAAGAAGGACAAATCACAAGTTCACTGTGTTTTTGTTCCACTTCAAAAATAATAAAATTCATTTTTAAAAATTCTACCAATACCATGAGATTTAACATAATTTTCTATCAGATCAGATTTTTACATAGAAAAATTGAAAAAGCTCAAATAGTAATTGAAATATTGAAACAGATTTCTAAACAAAAACAAAATAGCAGTTTCACTGTTTGTCGATGAAAATACAAATTTCTTCCCTGACAGTAGAATTCAAAAATATTCAGAATCGAAGGCAATTATTTTCAATTCGATTATTAACATTAGGTCTAGATAAATATCAAATCATTTTACTAAACTGAAAATGATTTCAAATCTAAAAAACGAAAAAAAAACATTATTCGCCACTTTGTAGAAAATTATTTGCAAAAATATTAGAGTCGTTTAAAATATTCACATAGATTTTAAAACATTTACAACACACTTTCTTGAATTAGACTTTAGGGAGCACTGACATCAAAGTTTACGACACGTGGAACATTAAAATTCAATATATCTAAGTCACAAGCAAATTTTCTATGTATTTGAAGATTCAATTCACGCGTATAAAAATATGATACTTTATATTCTATAATATTAGACTCATTGTTGTTCAAAATCTTCTCTTACATAATGTGTGAAATGTTTCAAATTTCCAAATTTAAAAGTATGAATTCTATTTTGACACGCCATTAATAAACCGAAGGAATAAGTAAATTTAGTGATAAGTCGTGTGCCGTTCATAAATAAGTGATGTCCCCAACAAATTTGTGAATCGGATCGTTTATTAAGAACTGAAATCTACAGTCCAGTATCTTACTGTAGCCGCTTTCTTTGGCAACTTAATTATTAATCAACTAGACGCACGTAATATGTCAAATTAATAAAAAAAATATTTTCACTTTGAATAATTTAGGAATTGGGACTTCCTAATTTAAGAAAAACTTCAATCGATGTAATTTTTTTGATTTTTAGAATTATTTTAATAATTCAAATCCCTTTTTAAAAATATAAACTTAGCACAATTTTCTTCATATGAGAAACTTTTGCAAACTTGAAGAAAAGTTGCGAAATATATTATTAAGGATGTAGGTATAAATATTTTATTTCTATTTACATAAACAAAGTAATAACCACGTGCAATAGCTCTCGACGTCAAATCAAATCATTTATGTGAATCGTTCAAGTCAGGAAAATGTGCATTTGTCGAAAAGACGGTTGAGCTTTATTTTCGGATTGGCTAGTGGCAGAGATATTACCAGAAACGTTATTTTACAAGCAACTGTTTTCAACGAAAATTTAGAACTAGGTAAAGCGTTAATTTTTCAATACTTATTTGTAAAATTGTCATTGAAATGCTTCATTATCTCGAAATTTCTTAAATTTTCCATATATAAATAATGATAATACTGTGATTAAATACTTTTTCCCATCAGCATACTATAAATCAAAAAGGGGAAAACATTTACTTGGAGTAAGGAACAAAATGAAAAAAGCTCGGGTATTTTTTCATTTCTTTTGCATTATTTTATAAATTATTTTCTAAAATTTCTCACTCGTCAGAAACTGAGAATTAACAAGAACTAATAAGTGTCAAGTTACTCCGGCTTTTACAAATTTTTACTTAAGGATTATAGGTGAGTAGTATTTGCCTGAGTTACTGGGATGCAAACATCCCCAAGTCTTGTTTTAAGTGCCAAGAAACCGACAGCGTCTCGTGGTTGAAACGAATGGCCATTTGGAATCACACATAAATAAGATAAACCAGTCTGAGTCAAAATGCAGCCTGCTTTCTATACTTTCGTGAGCACACGCTATTTTTTCTCTATTTCTAATTAGACTTCAATTGACAGTTCCAAGAATCGTAGAATTAAAAAAGAATTATATCAAAAATTGTCAATTTAGTCGCAATTTGTTCGAGTCTGGTATTAAAAGTCTAAAATCTGAACTGGATGAAGAATTACTGACGTGATAGAAATTTAGATTTGCCGTGTAATTGGAATTATTTTCTTAGAATTACTTAAGATCGTGCAAGACGCCAAAGAATTTACGGTAGTTTTAGCATTGGCCTCAAATTTTCAAAGTCGAGAAGACATGGATACCTGCTAACGGTTCCCATGCTCGCAAACCAGAGTGTAAAAAATATACTAGCAAAACACAGCTGCTGTCATTGCACGAGTCAAGCATTTATGAAAATTGCAACATTCTTGGCTTTGGCTTAGGCCTGACAATACAAAAAGTCTTATAATAAATCTACTTGATAATGAAACTTAATAAATTTCGTTTCAAGTAGATCCGATTTAAAAGACAAACCTCACAATCAATAAATGTCGGAAAATTTCCATCGATAACAAATATACTTAACTTTTAATGCAATAGATTAGATCAATAAATTTACACCCTCTTATTCTTCATTAAAAACAAACTCATTCATTCATTTTTCTGTAGCAACTAGTTACTCTTCGATAAAATTATTATTATCTTTTTATGATGGTTTCCAGAGCAACAACGACCTCGATGCTATTTTAAAAGTTTTCAATGCGTGTCTTCGATTTTCAGTTCTTATAGATTTGTCTCATGCCAAATTATAATAAAACGTTTTAATTCCTAATGTCAGAGGTGAAAAAGAAAAATAATAAAATTATCTTTAAAAACTATTGATATCAAAAATAATTATCTGATAGTCCATAAACAAATTATTTGCCATTTATTTGATGAAATGAATAGCTTTAAATGCTGTATTTTTCCGATAACTCGTTCCCGTCTGTGATATTCAAATTGCGATCTATTAAATTCTTCATTAAAAATGAGCGTGGAATATTAAAATTCACTCAACTTTCTATAGTGACAGCATCAACCGAGTACAAAAACGTGTGGATAATCATTTCAAGTAGAGGAAGAATTACGTTATTAAAGAGGAGAATTTTTTCGACGATTTGAAAACAACAAAATTTAATTCCGATACTGACGATTCGAGGAGGTATCAGTTAAAAATATCCATTGTTAGAGAAGAAAAAAAAATGTTAGAATCATAGATATTTATAATTGACGCCACATTTAAAAATTCGAACAATAAATTTTCTACGGTATTTTCAGTTTAAATAAATCCACCATCAAAATTATTTAACAATAAATAAACGCGCGCAAGTCACGTGTCCACTTGCGTAGCTCTATAAAATTTAAAAATAAAAATGCTTGGTTTCCCACTGTCTTCTCCACTGTCATTGTGATTTCAGTTTTCTTTCAAACGACCTTACATTCCACATAGAAAATCACGTGACTAAATTCAAGTACAATGAACTTTTATCAAATGAATTGATTTCTTGAATAATAATAACGCTAAAAATAATAAAAAAATTTGTTTTCTTCAAACTCACCTCTTGGATTTTATAACTTGTTCGAATAGTCCTTTTTCTACTTGTCGTAATTTCATAAGTTTCTTCGACAGTAGGTGCATCGTCATTCATTTCGTCGTTCATCTCGTCGATCTCGTCGATCTCGTCGATAGTCGACGTGACGGACGGTACAACTGCGTCCATCACTTCCATCCTGATGACGGTTTTTGAGTCTCAGTGAATAGAAAATCCGCTCTTCTTGTTAAAAAAAACAGCACGTCAAACTTATTTAAAAAATTAAAAAATACAGTTAATCGTAAATTGGCTCCTCTTTTTTAATTTTCTTAAAATTAAAAACAAATGATCAATTAACTGACGCACACACTGTAACCGTTCATGCCGCGAGACTGGCCAAACTAACAGAAGATACTGCTACGCGCGCCCTCGACTTATTATAAAAATAGATTTTCCTTTTTCCCGTAAACTCGGCGACGACAATGACGACTGATGACCCGCAACTTTTCATTGAACGGTTAAAATCAATTACAACAACGCCTCAACTAAACAAAAAGTTAATCTTTGCTTTAAAAAATGAAAATGTAAAAACCCCTCATACGCTAAATAACATCAAGTAACAAAAGTTTCATTTTCTCCAAAATTTTACATGAAATACATTTCATTAATCGCTTTTAACCATAAGTGGTCGTTATTACAATCATCAAGCCATTGTTATTTTATAAAATATATTTTCTCACAAAATTAAGTAATAATCAACTTGTAGTCAATTTATATATTAAATTTAAAATTTACAAAATATTCTACCTTTTCGTATTAATCGCTAACAAATCAGAAACCAAAATTAAGACAATTACACTGCTGACACTTGAAAATGAGTTTCTTTTCACTTAGTTTTTACCAAACTATACACAAATTGCAGCACAGTAAAAACTGATTCACATTGCCATTCAGTTTCAAATGTAAGAAAGGTAATTTTCCAAAAAGAAATTTCTCTCCTTGGAATTTTATTAAAATATACAATAAAAAATGAATTTTCGATCTAAAAATTCATCGAGTCACATAAGACTGCAATAATAATTTCAAAATTTTCTCGTAACACTGCAAAAATATTTAATATTTCAAAAACTGTCAGTCTTTTAAATTGTGCTGTGTTTATTTAAAAGTTGTTAAAATAGAATAATTAATTATATTGAATTTAAAAATAGCTTATTATTACTAACAGTATTCTTCTTTTTTCATTTATTAATATTATAATATTTATATCAAAATTTTTTCAAAACTCCAACTATTTGTCTTATCTTTCTATTTGTCTTATTAGAAAAATTAAAAGAAAATCTTGTTACGTAATATCGTTGAGAATTTAAAATTTAAATTGATTTTCAATGTTCCGACAGTATTCTTTTAAAACTGACAGATTATTTGGCTTGTAAACTCCTCTTTCAGTGATTATTCCTGTTATAAGTTCAGCTGGTGTCACGTCAAAAGCCGGATTCCAGCACTGAATTCCAGAAGCTGCAATTCTTTGGCTCAATATATGAGTTATTTCTTCTTCAGGTCTCTCTTCGATTTTAATTTGATCGCCACTATTCATACTGAAATCTATAGACGTACATGGGGCTGCCACATAGAAAGGTACACCGTGATACTTTGCAAGAATCGCTATCTGAAAATACAAAAATATTTACTTTATTAAAATCTCCTATATGAATTCTATTTATAGATTAGGCTGTTTTAAATTTCAAAATTAATTTTATCCACTGGCTTCAAATTTTGCAAAAGTTGATATGATATAAATTTTGGTGTTTTGAATTTTAGAAAATTCTCAAATTCGCAGCTAAAGAAATTACAGGCTTCGTATCTGATAATTAATTTTTAAAAAGTACCAAAAAGTAGCATTAAGACTAAAAAAAGCAGTAAAAATGTAGCTATCGAAAAATTAAATTTGACTTAATTTTTTCATAACTTATAAATTAAATTACCTACATTCAAAAATATAATAATTTTTTTTAAAGTAAATATTTAAATACCTATTTATTTTGCCAGAGGAATTAAAATATTTAAAATAATTTCAATGTAAAGCCTTTTTCAAATTTAACTCTTTAAAAAATTATTATCATTTTACAACAATTAAAATTTTCAAAGATTTCAATTTAAAAATCTTTTGAAATTTAATTATTTCTGAAATTTTACTCTGTAACGCTTCTAATATTCAATTATTATCTAAAATTTTAACTGAAATTTAAGAATCAATTGTTATTATAAAGTTCATCAAGAATTTAATTATTTAAATACAAAAATAAATTATTTATTTATTGCAATATGGAATATTTCTTAAAATTTAATTCTTGTAAATAACTTTATCAAAATTTTTATAAACAATTGAATTCACACAGAGAATTTTAATAAAATTTTTAAGAATAATTGCTCTTTTCGTGAAATTAATTTAAAATTGTATTAAAAATAATAATTCAAGTCCTGCGATGAGTTTTATCAGTTATGAAAATAATTGAATTTTTGCAACGATTTTTTATTAAAATTTTTTTAATAATTGAATTTCTGAGAAGAATTTTATTATTTATAAAATGAATTGAATTCTTGTGAAAATTTTTATAATTTGTAAAAATAATTGAATCTATTTGAATAATTTTATTAAAATTTTTGAGAATTAAAATTAAAGTAGTGAAAATTCTCAAATATAGAAGAAAGTAGTTCTTTTAGTATAAAAAATGTAAAATAAGTATCCAAATAGCCTGGAAATTAATATAAAGTGTGGAGAAAATAAAAATGAGCGAAAAATTACCTGATATGTTCCTATTTTATTAGCAGTATCACCGTTAGCAACAACACGATCAGCGCCAACAATAACTGCATTGATTGTCTTTGATTTCATTAACGATGCAACCATATCATCGCAAATTAGTACACCCGGAATTCTATCATGCACTAATTCATAACTAGTCAATCTGGAACCTTGGTTGAAAGGCCTCGTTTCTGTGCAATAAACTTGTTCTGAAAAAATCATTTATATTTAGAGTGGGAATTAAAAAATAATAAAGTTGCTCTTCCAGATTTTATCACATCGATATGTCTATATTTATACTTGAAGATAAGAAAAACGTACATACAAAAGTATTGACTACATACCAATTCTGTTTTTACTGTGAAGAGATCTTATCACGCCCAAAGCTGTACCATAACCCGCAGTAGCAAGACTTCCTGTATTACAATGTGTGATAACTCTAACTAAAGTGTCATTTGGAACAGATTTTAAAATTTCCTCTGAACCATACTTTCCAATCGCACTATTGTCGGCGATATCCTTTTCCAGCATATTCTCTATTGTTTTCAAAAATCTGCAAATAAATTAAATCCAATAAAGTCTGTAAAAATGTTGCATGAAAGGTGGATTAAGTTCAGTTTTCACTGAAATGTTCTCTTACTGATCTTTCATCATTGAAGGTGAAACGTCATTATCTTCACTTAATTTATTAGCAAGACCTATTAGGTATTCACCAGCAAGTTTAATATTCACAGCAGTGGGTCTGGCAGAAATTAAATAATTCAATTTTCCTTCGATTTCTTGTCGAAGTACCTTCTTGTCAGTGAATATTTCACCATCAATCTCAGCAGCCAGGCTGAGGCATCCAACTATTGCAATTGCTGGTGCTCCCCTCACCTAAAAATATATTTTTAAATCAACAAATTGCTATTACTTATCGTTGTTAAAAGCTTGGAAAAAATATCGGAAAAGCAATTTACAATTATACCAGAGACATAATTATGTAGATAATGGAACATTAAGAACTAAAATTAAATAAATAAATATGTACTGCAATTCAATATTCAAAAAATGAGAATGTAATAAAATGACACAAACGAAAAAGCACAAGATAACCTAAAAGAACATTAGGATTTTATTCTCTATTGCTTAATAAGGCGGGGCACTTTTCTTCAAATTATTATTATACAAAGTTTACCTGCATTTTGTTGATAACTTTCCATCCATCCTCAACCCCTTTTACAGAGACATATTTAGAAATTGCCGGCAGGAGAGTTTGATCCAAAATTTCTAATTTTCTACTTTCCCATTTAATTGCTTGTAGAGTCATTTTAAGTAAATCTCCAGTTATCTAAATTAAATAAAATAACTCGCCAACAACGTTTTAACGGAACATTTGACCACAACCACAAATATATAAATAATAAACGCCATATTGCATTTCAGTCATATGATGATCTCGTGGCCATATTCTACCATTTAAATTCTGGCGGGAGTTTTTGAATTAAACGAAATGTTCCCATACGCAGATACGTATAAATAAAATTATAACTCAAGTATTTCAATGATTTCAATTAATATTTCTAACCAACTTGATTTAAATATTTTTAAAGTAAATTAATGATATTAAAATAATTAAAAATTAAAGAGAAAAGAAAAAATTCATTTTTATAATAATAATGTGTAAAATAAAAGGTGCAGGGATTTCTGGTAAGAAAAAACATTTTATATACACAAATTCATATTCACTTTTAATTAAATATATCTATAGGTATGTACATTCATCATATTATTAACTGTACAACAGCATATACTCACAAAAATACATATATATATATATTTACGATACGAAAAATCAATTCACATTTTGGAAATATTATATTTTTTATACAAATAATATTATTTTGATAATAATAATAATAATAATAATAATTTGTTATTCTTATAAATAGAATTGGGGATGGATTGTTTCAGGGCATTTCAGGAATAACATCTTTTATATAACATGGCCCTCGAATTATATTGACTGTACTAAAAAATGAGATGATTATAATTACATATAATAATTTCAAGTCTTGAGAGGAATCTACACTATCTAAAAAATTAATGTACAATTAATGTACATTTATTTACAAATTGAAAGAATTCTTATTTTGAATTTTCGCAAAATTAAAATTATTTTACTCTCGATTTTACTTTTTAGCTATTTTTTAAAAATTAAATTTGAAATTATCTTTAATTTATTGCGTGTGATATAGAGAAGACGATTGAATAACTAATTTTTGTAAGAAGATTAGTACAATACATAATTTCTTTCATCAAGTAGCATTTGATAAAAGAATATTTAAATAGTTACACGAAAAATGTTAGTTCCTCATTTTTCTTTATCTATAAGCATACTTAGAATGGAACAATTTTGAAGACGTATAGGTATATTAATCGATATTTAATGCTTACATGATCACATATTAAAACTCTGTTATGCTTTAGAAATAATTATTTTAAAATTAACAAAAAATGACGAAAAAAATCAAGTCATCATTCTTTACATTCATGAAATTACATGAAAAATGAAATAGTTTTCGAAACATTTTTAAAACAATTAACAATGCTCATTTTTTGATATTTTGTAATTAAGTACATCTTAAACTCACATTCACACCCATTTTCACATATATATAGTCAACATTCTTTAAAGAATCTCGTTGTAAATAATGTCTCGTTAATTTTCAAAAACTAAATCAAAGGTATAAAATTTTAATTCTCCATTCAATTTTATATTTATAATATTTATAATATTTATAATAATTTATAATAATGCGCATAATTTATTAAAAATTATATTGCCACTCAAGACTTTAATATACGGAATTATTATTATTATTATGATTATTATTGTTTAATTACTTTATTATTTTTATTGTATTATTATTAATTTATTATTATTATATTATAATTATTATTATTATTAATATTATCATCATTAATATTAAATTATTATTTCTAAAATGACTAGAGAAGTATTCGAGCTAGATATAAAATTAATAAAAATGAAAATGTTTGATGGAAATTTTTTTTACTTTTCAAAAAAAGAAATGTAGTAAAGAATTAATATTTTTGTTTCCTTAATATTCACTTTCTGTGTAGATAATTATTTATTTTACCGATAACAGTTATAAACAACATTTATAAGTGTGACATGACATACGGTCTTTTCATTTATTTTTCGGCGTTCTCACTTACTAATTAAATTTATACTCTTTCTCTCTCTCTCTCTCTCTCTCTCTCTCGACCTTTCAGTAAAAAGCTTTACTACACATATCAAAATAAACTAATTTACTCTGACGAGACTTAAAACCGTACAACTTACCAACCAACACGGATTGAGCATCACGAGTATTTCTGACTTAATATATTATTAATTATAAATGTTTTTTTTCTCCTTTCATTATTATCAATTAAAACACCCAGTGAAAATAAAAGTTATTTAAAAATTATTAATAAACAATTAAAGTTTTATATTTAATAAATTTTGAGTTGCAAAAAATGTATAAATGCGTAATTCTAGATCTAATTTACTATTTTGTATATTGAAAAAAAGTTTTGACAAATAAAAATACTTTAAATTTAAAAAACTAAAGATATTATTTCGGTATACATAATAACAATTGAGAATCCATTAATTTTGTAAAATAGAAATTTTTTCGTAATTACGCGTTGTTTAATGAAATAATATACTCAACCCTTTAAATATAAATAAAGACGAAAAACATTATTTTTAAACATTATTTTAAAAAAATCTTGATTGCATTAAGAGAAACAAGTGGTATGCGTATATGAGCAAAGTATGCATATATTATATTAAAATTCAGTCATACATATATATGTACAGGCATTATTTTAATGTACATATTGTGACTCCTAGATTAAGTTAGGAACCTCACATTTAAATGTTTCACATTTGTTTTTTTTTTGCGAAAAAAATTGGTCCATAGAAAAATGAAGGTATTTATACATATATATTTTGTTTCTTAAAGCTCCATTTTCACTCGATTGTTGATAATATATATTATTTATATATTTTTTAATAAAATTCGGACCGCCAAAAAGGGCATGCTCTGTTAATATAATTATTTTATAACTATAATTTTTACAAGAGATTCTAATGTTTGTAAAATATTTCTTATCTGATACTTTTTATTATTAACCTTTACTGTTGTCATAGAGTTTGCTTTTGTACTTCAGTAGCCAACTAGTGTGGGTACTGGAAATAATATTTTATTACTTGTTAAATTTATGGAAATAAAATCGAAATTTTTTTTTTTTGCGAGAAACTCTATAACAACGTAGTACAAATAAAATTATTCACACTTGAGTGATCTTGTTGACAAACTTGAACCCTTTTAAACACTAAATTCTCTTTGAAGTTTCACCCTTTAAGGTATATATTACAATACCGAAAGTATGTCGATGAAGCAAAAGCACTGGATAATTTGTAAAGGTTCCTTTATTTTGTGTCCATTATATCGAAAAATATTTAAGTATGTTTATCTCAAACAAATATTTTTTCCTCAATTCTCTAGCTGATTATTTAAAAATTAAATAACAGAAGAATTTGAATTATAGAATTTAAAATCTCTACGCATGCCCTTCGCTTCTTATACTATATGTATAAATTATTGATGTTAAATCGAATAACGATTAGTCCGATTTATTTAAAAGTTAAATATTCTTTTCCCATCGATGCGGTATATATACAAAACTCTGTTTTTAAGATCGGCGCAATACTGCTATTTGTTATTTTTATTGAAATTAAAAAACAGCGTATTTGCAATAGAAAAATCAGATAGAAGACTTAAAAATGCAATTTATTCAAATTAGACCGTGCGTTTTAGAGTTTGATTACTTATGCAGTAAAACAAATGATGATCATTCGTTTTTTTTCGGTGTTTTAAAATCACAGCGCTTGGTACATGAATCACTAGCTCATTAGACCACTTCTTTATTTTCTCACTTGAAATTTCTGATATTCGAAACTTAAATAAGTATTTTAAAAATTTATTAATTATTTAAATCTCCTTGAAAAACAATAGCAAATCTATTTGGCAAATAGAAGCATTTATTCTTTAATATATATTTACAGTTTTGTGCTAATACCATTTTTAATAATATGTATGTTAAACCTACTTATTTTATGACTATACTTGAAAATATTAAAATCACAAGAATAAAAAAGAAAACTTTTTTTTCAGTTTTTCCAACACTTAATTAAGTTAAGTACATATATATTATAAAGCTTTTTGAAAAGCTTCTTTTGTTAACTCATTTATGAAATTTGTGGAAAAGCAAAATAATTTTCTTTGCTTTTGCTTTTGCATATTATGGTAGACTATATAACAGTATCGCGTCAAAAAGTATCGTTCTCTGTAAAGAACTTGAAATATTTTTAAACTTTCGAGTATTATTTATTTATTTATTTATTTATTTAATATGACACCTATTTATTGAATTTGACAATCGATAATATACCGACAGCACATGGGTACATTAAGTAACATCAATAAATTATAACGCCTTTCAAAAGCTTATATAACACTTACACATCTAATTAATTAAATGTATAATGTACTCAATTCGTAGACTGAGAATTGAAAAATAATTTATATAAAAAAATTAATTGAGTATTTAAGCAATGTATAATTTGCTTTGTCTGAGCACATTTTCTCATGTAAATAAATTTTAAATTAGGTATTTCGTTTTCATTGAGAGATAAAAGTATGATTGAAATGTGCAGAAATTTGTAAAAATCTATTTGGTTTGATCGGATTTATGAATAAAAACAACAGTTTTTGTTCTAAGTAAAAAAGGATATGAAAAACTCTTGAATGAAAATGGGAAAACTGATTTATAGTATTATTTTTGAGTGACAAGTTATTTTTATTTGATTGAAATTGAGAATGACCAGAGCAAGATAATGAACTGAGATCCATGGTAAAATGAAAATGTTCTCTTTGAGGAATTGGTTATTCCATTGGAAGATGGTAAAATTCTGTGGGAGGATGAAGGAAGGAAAAGTGTGCTGATGTAATAACTTGCCGTCGGGCTCGAGTGTCACTGTTACCGCTGTTACCCGACTTGAGACCAGTTGAGAATGTTGAGATTTGTTGCATCAGCAATTGGAAAGGACGGTCCAGTGGAAGTTAAACGGTGACCTTGAGACGCCTCCGCTTCCTCTCCAGGATCCCCAGACTCATCGTCTGGGGATGAACAAAATGTGGATCCCTGTGCTTTTGGCGAATGTGAGTGCGGAGGGTGTCGATTCTGCTGTAGGTCGCTGGACAGTAGGGGCAGGACGACCTTTGGGCAGTGTGAATGTGAAAGTGGTGCCAGCGGTTGGTCACTTGTTTCCCGCAAGCTCGACACTTCCAAAGTGCCGGACTGCCCAGTGAC